CTTCTCTCTCCTCTCTCTCTCTCTCTCTCTCTCTCTCCTCTCTCCTCTCTCCTCTCTCCCACTCTCTCTCTCTCTCTCTTCTCCACTCTCTCTCTCTCTCTCTCTCTCTCTCTCCTCTCTCTCTTCTCTCTCTCTCTCTCTCTCTCTCTCTCCACTCTCTTCTCTCTCTCTCCCTCTCTCTCTCTCTCTCCACTCTTCTCTCTCTGTTCTCTCTCTCCACTCTCTTCTCTCTCTCTCTCTCTCTCTCTCTCACTCTCCTCTCTCTCTCTTCACTCTCCTCTCTCTCTCCTCGTCTCTCTCTCTCTCCTCTCTCATCTCTCTCTCTCTCTCTCTCTCCACTCTCTCTCTCTCTCTCTCTCTTCCATCTCTCTCTCTCTCTCTCTCTCTCCACTCTTGTCTCTCCACTCTCTTCTCTCTCCACTCTGGTCTCTCCACTTCTCTCTCTCTCTCCACTCTGGTCTCTCCACTCTCTCTCTCTCTCCACTCTGTCTCGCCACTCTCTTCTCTCTTCTCTCTCTCCACTTCTCTCCTATCTTCTCTCTCCACTCTCTCTCTCTCTCACTCTCTCTTTCTCTCTCCACTACTCTCTCTCTCTCTCGTCTCCACTCTCTCTCTCTACTCTCCACTCCTCTTCTCTCTCTCCACTCTCTCCTCTCTCTCCACTCTCTCTCTCTTCCCTCCACACACTCTTCTCTCTCTCTCCACACTCTCTCTCTCTCCACACACAAACACACTCTCTCTCCACACACACACTCTCTGTCTCCACACACACTCTCTCTCTCTCTCCACACACACACACACTCTCTCTCTCTCCACACCTCTCTTCTCTCCACACGCTCTCTCTTCTCCTCTTCTCCACACGCTCTCTCTTCTCCTCCACCACAACTCTCTCTCTCTCGCCACACACTCTCTCTCTCGCCACAACACTCTCTCTCTCTCACACACTCTCTCCTCTCTCCCACACTCTCTATCTCTCCACACACTCTCTCTCCACACACACTCTCTCTCTCCACACAACACACTCACACTCCTTTCTCTCTAAACCACACACTCTTTCTCCTTCTCACACCTCTTTCTCCTCTCTTAACACAACACTCTTTCTCTCCCACAACACTCTTCTCTCTCCACACACTCTTTCTCTCTCCACACGGAAGACACTCTCTCTCTATGCTCCCAAGAACCCTTTCTATCTCCACTCTTCGTGTCTCGATGTCTTTACGTCTACACTTTTTTTTTTCTCTCTATATATCTCTCTCTCTCTCTCTCTCTCTCCACACTCTCTCTCTCTCTCTCTCTCTCTCCACACTCTCTCTCTCTCTCTCCACACACTCTCTCTCTCTCCACACACTCTCTCTCTCTCCACACTCTCTCTCCACACACTCTCTCACGCTCCACACACTCATACGCGGCCGCACCGCCCCTCTCTCTCTCCACACTAGCTCTCCTCTCTCCACCAACACACACACTCTCTCTCTCTCTCTCTCTCTCTCTCTCTCTCTCTCTCTCTCTCTCTCTCTCTCTCTCCTCTCTCTCTCTCTCTCTCTCTCTCCACACACTTCTCCTCTCTCTCACACACCTTCCTCTCTCTCCACACACTCCTCTTCTCCACACACTCCCTCTCTCTCCACACACTCCCTCTCTCTCCACACACTCCCTCTCTCTCCACACACTCCCTCTCTCCACACACCACTCTCTCTCACACACACACACACTCTCTCTCTCTCTACACTCTCTCTCTC